GAGAGAGAGAGAGAGAGAGAGAGAGAGAGAGAGAGGGGAAGAGAGAGAGGGGAAGAGAGAGAGGGGAAGAGAGAGAGGAAAGACAAGAGATGAAAGAAAGAAAGAGAGAAAGATAGAGAGAGAGAGAGGAAAGAGGGGGGAGAGAGAGAGAGAGGGGGAGAGAGAGAGGAAAGAGGGGCGAGGAGAGAGAGAGGAAAGAGGGGAGAGAGAGAGAGAGAGAGAGGGAGAGAGGGGGAGAGAGAGAGGAAAGAGGGGCGAGGAGAGAGAGAGGAAAGAGGGGCGAGGAGAGAGAGAGGAAAGAGGGGCGAGGAGAGAGAGAGGAAAGAGGGGCGAGGAGAGAGAGAGGAAAGAGGGGCGAGGAGAGAGAGAGGAAAGAGGGGCGAGGAGAGAGAGAGGAAAGAGGGGCGAGGAGAGAGAGAGGAAAGAGGGGCGAGGAGAGAGAGAGGAAAGAGGGGCGAGGAGAGAGAGAGGAAAGAGGGGCGAGGAGAGAGAGAGGAAAGAGGGGCGAGGAGAGAGAGAGGAAAGAGGGGCGAGGAGAGAGAGAGGAAAGAGGGGCGAGGAGAGAGAGAGGAAAGAGGGGCGAGGAGAGAGAGAGGAAAGAGGGGCGAGGAGAGAGAGAGGAAAGAGGGGCGAGGAGAGAGAGAGGAAAGAGGGGCGAGGAGAGAGAGAGGAAAGAGGGGCGAGGAGAGAGAGAGGAAAGAGGGGCGAGGAGAGAGAGAGGAAAGAGGGGCGAGGAGAGAGAGAGGAAAGAGGGGCGAGGAGAGAGAGAGGAAAGAGGGGCGAGGAGAGAGAGAGGAAAGAGGGGCGAGGAGAGAGAGAGGAAAGAGGGGCGAGGAGAGAGAGAGGAAAGAGGGGCGAGGAGAGAGAGAGGAAAGAGGGGCGAGGAGAGAGAGAGGAAAGAGGGGCGAGGAGAGAGAGAGGAAAGAGGGGCGAGGAGAGAGAGAGGAAAGAGGGGCGAGGAGAGAGAGAGGAAAGAGGGGCGAGGAGAGAGAGAGGAAAGAGGGGCGAGGAGAGAGAGAGGAAAGAGGGGCGAGGAGAGAGAGAGGAAAGAGGGGCGAGGAGAGAGAGAGGAAAGAGGGGCGAGGAGAGAGAGAGGAAAGAGGGGCGAGGAGAGAGAGAGGAAAGAGGGGCGAGGAGAGAGAGAGGAAAGAGGGGCGAGGAGAGAGAGAGGAAAGAGGGGCGAGGAGAGAGAGAGGAAAGAGGGGCGAGGAGAGAGAGAGGAAAGAGGGGCGAGGAGAGAGAGAGGAAAGAGGGGCGAGGAGAGAGAGAGGAAAGAGGGGCGAGGAGAGAGAGAGGAAAGAGGGGCGAGGAGAGAGAGAGGAAAGAGGGGCGAGGAGAGAGAGAGGAAAGAGGGGCGAGGAGAGAGAGAGGAAAGAGGGGCGAGGAGAGAGAGAGGAAAGAGGGGCGAGGAGAGAGAGAGGAAAGAGGGGCGAGGAGAGAGAGAGGAAAGAGGGGCGAGGAGAGAGAGAGGAAAGAGGGGCGAGGAGAGAGAGAGGAAAGAGGGGCGAGGAGAGAGAGAGGAAAGAGGGGCGAGGAGAGAGAGAGGAAAGAGGGGCGAGGAGAGAGAGAGGAAAGAGGGGCGAGGAGAGAGAGAGGAAAGAGGGGCGAGGAGAGAGAGAGGAAAGAGGGGCGAGGAGAGAGAGAGGAAAGAGGGGAAGAGAGGGGGGGGGGAGAGAGACAGAGAGAGGAAAAGGAGATTGATTAAGAAGAAAGAAAGAAAGAAAAAGCAACTTCTCTCTTACGAGCTTCCTCCGTCCTTCTCTTATCCGATGGGGGACTCGGCTCTCCAATGCCAATCTGGTTGATGGCGATGACACGGAATTCATACTCGACCCATGGACTCAGACCAACCACAGTGGCTGTGAACGATCGCCCATCCACCACCTCCGGCACTAAGGGGAAATGTAGAAAAATACAGAAATACAGAGTGTGATCTATCAGTTAAATAAATATATAAAACAAGTGAGTTGAGTTGCTTCTGAGGAGCAGATGCTGCGCAGGAAACACTAGTTAAACCCACAGACAAATTGTCTCAGGCAGACGGCACTAATTAAATAAATTGTGAAAACTATCCAATTTTCGGTTGTTTTAGTTGTTGTGTTAAATCAGACAGAAGAGCCATCTATAGAGTGAGAGATTGTACCGCATCCTCTGGAGTATTACCATTAATTCAGAGGAAATAAAACACTTCAATCTACTTCAACTTCAAACAAAAATATTGATATTATATAAGATATGTAAGATTGATAATATGTAAAAATATTATTATTTTCCCCGACACTGATAGCCTGCGCACTAAATGCTTTCTTTCAATTTATTAAAGACATCACTGAGAGTGCAGCCTATCCAGTCACTAGAGACCGGTGACATCACTACTGAGAATGCAGCTTATCCAATCACTAGAGACCGGTGACATCACTGAGAATGCAGCCTATCACTAGAGGCCGGTGACATCACTGAGAATGCAGCCGATCCAGTTAATAGAGAGCGGTGACATCACTGAGAATGCAGCCTATCCAATCACTAGAGAGCGGTGACATCACTGAGAATACAGCTTATCCATTCACTAGAGACTGGTGACATCACTGAGAATGCAGCCTATCCAATCACTAGAGACTGGTGACATCACTGAGAATGCAGCCTATCCAATCACTAGAGACCGGTGACATCACTGCAAATGCAGCCTATCCAATCACTAGAGAGCGGTGACATCACTGAGAATGCAGCCTATCCAATCACTAGAGACCGGTGACATCACTGAGAATGCAGCCTATCCCTTCACTAGAGAGCGGTGACATCACTTAGAATGCAGCCTATCCAATCACTAGAGACCGGTGATATCACTGAGAACCCAGTTACAGAATTGAAGGATGTCTCCTCACCTGTGCTGACTGCTTGCCACCCCACTGAGAAGGGTGTCCGGGCCTGGACGACATACATAGTAATGGGGCTGTGATTGTCCACTCCCGGCATCCATGATAGCTGTGCGGTGGTGTCAGTGATCTCCTCCACAGTAAGCGCATCTGGCGGACCGGGAGGTCCTGGAATAAACAAAGAGCCAATGAAGAGCTACAAGCAGCATTAAAGAGACCCTGTCACCAGGCCATTCTTTCCAAAAACAACCTTCCCATAAGATTATATGTGCACCCGATGTATTTTAAAAGACTCCCTTGTGTCGACCTCCAAAAGCCCCAAGAATGCTGCTGGGTGCCGCCATCTTTGATATGATATGTGAAGTCCCAGCAGACTCAAAGCTGTCATTCAAGTGACACTCTGTAATATGCCTCTTCAATCTCTTCCCCCGCAACAGAAGTTATGCAGGGAGATGAGGGGAGGGGCAGAGGAGCTAGGCCGGCATGTACAGTAATTAAACATTTCCTGAAGAGGAGAGGGCTGCGGCTTGCAAGGAGGAAGGGGGCTGTGCTAGGGAATTGACTCTTCTGGAGCAAATGCCTATCAAATACAGGGATGTTGTCCATCAGGAAGTCCCAATGGAGCAAGCAGGGGCGCAAACTGACCACGCTACCACGGGTCTACTTTTATGCTGAGCATGGTCAGGAAGCTCATCATACGCCAGGGGACTGGTAGGATCCTCAGGTATTTAGTGGGAATCCAACATCTTCCATTCATAACAGTAACCAGCATGCTGGGGGACAGCGCAAAGTCATCCCAAGCTTTGGAATTGAAGGGTTTGCATGCATTATAACTCATGACAGGTCCTCTTTCACATAGGCCAATAATTACATCATCACCTTCTTGAGCCTCATACACCATCCATCCCGCCGCCCCCCCTTACCTCGGACTATGAGATCGGCTCCTGCTGATAGCTTATCTACGCTGGTGTGGACCAGGCAGATATATTTCCCAGCATGCTTCAGCTGGATGCTCCTTATCATTAAATCTCCGGCGGAGTCTTGCTGAAAACAGAGGACATAAGAGGACGGGTGAGGAAAAAGGCCGGCACCGGGTAATATCAACGTTGTCACATTTACACAGAACCCCAGCGCTGGAAGCCGATTCCACTGGGGAGATTGATGCAGAGTCACCTCAGTCTACTGGTGTGGGGGTCAGCTGACAGCAGGATAGTCAAAGCCCAGTGACAGCGCCAGACCAATAAGCCATCTAAGGACTTTTAATACGAGGTCATGCTCAACAGGGCAATACAGAATTAAAAAAAAGTCAACGCATTTCATGTGTTTAAAAGTCTCCCGCTTCTTCAGGGCTCAGATATGATATATATGTGGAAGGACTCAAAATGGCAGAATCACCTTTGGAAAAATGAAATGAAAAGATCTCAGTAGCAACAGGCTGTCTGTGTGACCTTTGAACCCATGACAGCCTTTGAGCCCAATTGACTCTCTGATCAAAAAACACTTAGGGGTCTATTTATAAACGATTTGCAGGGCTGTTCACTCTGCAAATATCTGTAAACATTCGTTTTGGGCGAATAATTGCAAAAAAAATACAGTTGAAGGTACTATGATGTAATACTGCGTTATGGCCACTAGATGGCGCTGATGAGATCTAGTGGTCGTAATGCTGATAAGGGACGTGATACCAGGAGGAGCATAGAAGTGACCTCCTCACTCTTCTTCTTACCACAACACACAAGTCTAAATGGTCCCTTAAAGGAGGACTACGGGGTAAGTGTTTTTCCCCATAGTTCTCCTAAGGGTCACGAGAGGACATATACTAGCGTCCTCCTGTGACCCAAAGCTCAGTATAATGCTGTCGAGATCCGCCCAGCTGCGTGAGTGACAGCTGGCTCTGCCTATCTAGAGGCAGAGCCAGCTGTACCCGCCCCCTCCCCCATCCGTTCCACCAGTCAGCGCTGGAGGATCGGAGCGGGGAGGGGGTAATCTCCGCAGGGAGCCGTGAGTGACAGTCTCGGCTCTCTGCAGGGAGATTATTCGAGAAGTGAGCGAGCGCCGGTATGTGTTCCCTCACTTCCCGATCTATTGAGCCGACCTGTGACAGTCTCATTGTCACAGGCCGGCTCGTACTATGAGGATGAGTGAAAATCACTCCCCCTCCTCATAGTTCTCCTTTAATGTTTTTTTTTTTTGCCCAGTGGTGTTTTTTAATATCTGTCCAGAGTTCAGCTTTAAATCTGCAGACTGACACAGTGATAGTGCACAGTGAATGGACAGGTCACGTGGATGGACAGGTCACATGACAACACCCAGAGGGTCCGATCCCTTGTGGTACGGCACTCATACTTACTCCTCCCACCCGCTCAAAGTGTTCCCCGTCCTTCTGAAAGTCGATGAGTTGCCCGTTGAAGACCCAGGAGAAGGAGATGTCCAGTGAGTGGTCGTGTGAGACCTGGCAGGGCAGGACGATGCTCTCTCCTACCGTGACGTCCATGCTGGACGGGGGGACCAGGACCTGCGTGGGGTCTGACACAGGACAATAAAACATTACAATCTGCAAATAAGCAAAACACACAACTCATTCTATCCAATCATTGATATATATCCGGAAACTCTGCAACTGCTGAAAGAGGAAGTCCATTCACATCCACTTTTCCCATGTCTACCTGTCTATTCATGACTGCTCTGTTGAAAAATGCCGGCCGTTTACAGAGTGCAATAGCTCAAGCTTAAATGTATAACAAAGCTGAATGAGTCAGAGAAGTGACTCCTCCCCCCCATCCCTCCCCCCTTCCTGCTTGCCTGATCAGACTGGGTCTTTGGTGTCTCAATTAGCGAGAGTGTATGTGAAGGGAGTGCTGTTGCTTTAATAGAAAACCCGTAATGTTCTGTGAATCCCGTTTCAATGGGTTTAGCCCGCATTTTAAGTTGATTTTAAAATTACAACGTTCGATCTGTGCGCATTTATTATCACGTTTCCCCATGTAATACCTCATTATGGCCACTAGATGGTGCTAATGAGCATATACAATGAGTATTGATTTTCTATACTCCTCAGCGCCATCTAGTGCCCGTAATGTGGTATTACATGAAAAAAACATTGAAAAATACATTGTGAAGAACGTTTATTTTGGCATATATCCGCACAGAAGGTTCTTCTCAGATATAAAAAGCCCCCAAAATGGGTCTCATACTAAACCATCAGCGCTCCGTCTTTCCTGTCTGAGATATGAGATATGTCAGGGGGGATGAAGGAGGGCGACCAATAAGCGTAACTCCACAAAAACTGTTTATACCCCTTATAGTTTCCTTTTGAATGATTCCCTGCTGTGCAACCTACCTCTCATGCTCCATTGGGTCAAACTGAGCATGCAATAGATCATAGAGTACAGTACATGTGGCGGTGAATGCACTGAGCTATGCTTTACAGGATCAGATACTGGAATGAAGAATTTTGGCAACGCTTATTCATTTAGCCACGGGGGGAGGGGGGAGGCAGGTGCAGAGGATGGATGCCAGGAGGATAATCACAGGCAGGCTGCATCTTCTCAGCCAAGTTAAATATGACATTTCCATGTTTGGATTGCAAAGAGGTGTTCTCTTGCTTTCAGTGAGCGAGGGTGGAAACCCTTAACATTTGCCCCCCCCCTCCCCTGTCCAATCAGCTTCCAACGCACATTTCCACACAGGCACTGCCATAGCCAGCGTGAACCATTGCTGGATGCCTGGCGGGTAGCGGATCTGTGGGAGCTCTGAGCAGGTTCCCTAATAATTCTCCTCTGCATTTCCAAGTACGACAGATAAACTAAAGGGTGTAACAATATGCCCTAGAAGGCCATGTGACTGTTATGGAGCCCAGAAGAACAGGGGGCCCCAAAGCTGTCTGGCCACACAGTGAATTATACCAGCAGCAATACATTAGGATTAAAGGAAGGTATATACAGTTTGGGAGCCTCTCTACATTTACAATAAAAACACTGGGGGGAAGGGGAGATTGAGGAAATGCTTCCTCCTGCGTGCAGCAGACTGATCACTGGGGGCGGGGAGACTGAGGAAATGCTTCCTCCTGCCTGCAGCAGATTGATCACTGGGGGCGGGGAGACTGAGGAAATGATTCCTCCTGCCTGCAGCAGACTGATGACATCATCCGAGTCCAGGCAAAGTCACTGACTGGAGCTCAAGGATGGCTTTTTCAGAGGCAAGAGTCAGAATAATAGCCAGCCCGTTAGCATTTCCGAAAAGAGATTGGTATTGGCATCCTTCATTATTCTCCCGGTAGACCATGCCGCAGCCGAGTACACAAAGCTTCCACCGGCATTACCTTGAATGATATTCTGGTGTTCTGGGACTTGCTGTAAATCCTCCTCATCATCGATAGGACGGAATCAAGCGGCCGTAAGCTTTATGTTCTTTGGATTACATCTATAATCTGCACAGCACTGAAATGTCATTTTCTTCCATCTAGGACAGTTCACGGAAAGGTCGCATAAGAAGCTTCCCGCCGGCGCCGAGGAACACGAAGACCGCCCGCAATTTCCGGCAAAGAAATACGGTGGCCCCAACGTCCTGAAATTTGCTTTGTTCCCTCCCCCGGGGGGATCAGGTGTGAAATGGCCGCAATCTCAGGGATTTGTTTGTACAACCTTTCCGCCAGACGAATGCCGATGATTCCGGGAAGCGGCGCAGAGAAAACTTTACCAAAGACTTTCCTAAGAAGCGACGGCG